CCTTGTTTGTTCCTTTCGAAGGGTTGACTTCTGACCCTGGCTTGCACTTGGTCAGGGCATGCTGCACAGCCTTATGGGAATGGTCCCAAGGCATGATGGTCATGTACTCATCCAGAATGAGTGTGTGGTGTTTTCTGGTTTCTGCAGCCACCGGTGCTCTGTCACCCATCACCAACACCTGGGAATCTGGAGGAAAGACAGAGCTTTGTTAAAACCTGTTCATGTTAAGATTCACAGTACTACATGTATATATCTGGCATTATGATCAGTTGTGTCAAAATAAAACCTGGCATCATAGTTCAAACTTATCATGCAGCAGCACACAACATGTGTACTGGACAAAGTCATTTTCTGATCAACTTTGTGTTGTTCCCCTAAGTGACACCCACCGACTTCAAGTTCCGAACACTGGCAGTCCGCGCCCATGTCGATGTAGACGGTGTGGTGGGGTGCAGTGCTGTTCACATCCTTCAGGTCCTCTGCAATGCGTGCCTCATGTCCATCTCTCCCTCTGTTGGTCTTCATTCTGTAGGCTGCAGAAAACAAGAAGGAAAATTTGTGAGGGATGTATTCCAGGCAAATTGAAGTGGGATAAAATGCTAACATGGGCCGTTGATATTGATTGACTCTCTTACTTTGTCAAAGATATTCTCTCTTACTACATCAGTTTAACTTGCCAGAATTATTGATTGCTCACCGTATGTTGAGCCGCAGAAGACCTTGCTGAAATCCTCCTTCTTGAGAAGACAAGTGGGACAGCCTTGGCGCTCGGCTGGTACGCTATCAGGGAACACTGGTACAAAATAAAACACAATCAAGAACTTTCTTCATGAAAGTGGTGTCTGTGCTGAGGACAGCAGGGCTTCATCTTTCAACTAATTCACACACAGAACAGACATCACCACAAGAGATCAGAGATTTCAGACTTTCCCCTGCTGGCTACTGGCCAGATTTAAAGACATTTCTCATTCTTCACCCACCCACCTACTCTAGATCTGGACAGATAGACAAACCCACATTCTCAGCCACCCAAAACAATACTTCCTGGTCAAGAGATGACTACTTACATGTTTCTACCGGGACAAAAGGCTGCAGCTCAGGCACCTCTTCAGGAGGGGGAGGAGGAGGAGGGGGGCTGCAGTTGATGTTGTACTTCTTGGAAATTTTCAGGTCTACAACCAAAGAAATGTGTCAACATCAGATAATACATGAATTCTTCAATAAAAAGTGAAATGACAAGCAGTATACCTTTGTACTTGTGGGCAACAAGGTGAAAATATTAAGTTGGTAATACCTTCCTCATAGTAGTCATACACAGTCACCACACCAGGCTTGGTGTTCTTCACTTTGATGTTCTGCTCTACCATGAACTCAAAACAGGTCATTTCATTGGTCAGCTGTGGAAAATGGAAAAAGAGAATTTCATTGGTTAGCACTGTACTGTATATATATATATATATATATCAGGCTATGTGCATCTAATTGGTCAAATTACAGTTTGGCTGGAAGCGTGAATTACAAAATGAAACAACTTGTTCTCAACAGCAGTTCTTTGGTACAAGTGTAATATAAACATGTATGTAATCCCTTGCTTACCTCATCAAAGTACAGATTCACCATTTTGCCGTCAATCTCGTACTTCTTGATGGTTTTCTCCTTCTTCAGCTGTACAGTAGAAAAAAAATATTTACATTGAGTTTTCATCTTTCTTCACACAAAAAACAACAGAACTCTGTTCCTCAAATCTTTCTTTGAGCACATTTTTTCAGCTTGCTTATTTAAAAACTAGGCCGAGAATCGAAGTAGAGTAGAACCCAACATATGGTTTTAGATTAACCTAACAATCGTATAGAAGTAAAATTAGTTTAACAAAGCAACATTAACAAGTTCTTACAGTCTTTAGGCTGGTCTTGTCTGGGATGAATCCTGAAACCATTTTCACAGCCACAACAGCCATGTTGGATGGTTCATCGTCCACAAACCTGTTCAGTAGACAATAACAACAGAACGTCATTTATGAATTCTTTCACATATTTCATCAGCATCAACTGTTTCTAGACAGAACCTGTTCAAATAGTTCAAAAATCACATTGACATAATACTGGAGATTATGGAGCCTATTCTGCATTCTTTGTATCTTTGTGTAGAACTTTTGAAGCCACTCTGGACAAAGTAATAAGTGGATAAGTGGATGAAGTGTGCCTTACCTGGTACATATACTCATCATTTTGACAGCACAGGGAGATGAGTCACTTCCCTCATCACGCAGAAGTTCACTCACATCCAGTACATTGACGTCCACCTCGAAGGATGGTGCTGGCTCCTCCTCCTCAATATTGTACCTCACGTTAGCCTACCAGGGATAAGCAACAGTAATTCAAGTACAATACCTCTTGTAAATCCCTGTGTGTACATTTGTAACTGACATGATTTTAGAGGGATTGCACAATCCTGTGAATGATTGGACATGAGTAACGTGACAAGAAAGACAAGACTACCCTTTGGTAGCCATGTTGTTTTGGATACTGCTGTTTAACTTACCCAGTTTTCTTAAGTCATGTAACCTAATCAGTTATCTCAAGTCACGTTTATTAAAATTTAAGCAGCAGCTTAAATTACAGCTAGAAGAAATGTTGTCTAAAAGTCCTAATTAAAAATGTATCTGTCAACACACAGGGTCCCATGGTCTTCTTTATTGAGTGCTTACCATGCAACTTTTTAAGCATACCAAAATACATAACCTCAGGCTTACCTGGAGAAGTGCACAGCCCTGCCCAGTGGCACGAACGCTGATGTCAGTTGGAGTGACTGGGATCTCCACAGTCTGCAGAACCAAGCTGTTTGTGTCTGTTATCTTGAATGTCTTATCCAGTCCCTCGGGAGTCTGTACCTGGACTTCAATATCAACCCCCTCTCCATAAGCCATCTCAGCATAGCTGGCCAGGGCCTGGAGAGCCATGACTGTGTCCTGTGTGCACACAAACATCTCAAGTCAGTAAAACNGGATCAATGGTTCTCCTGATGGTAAAACACAGTGTATCACTGGATAACAATACCAAAGTATGTCACCTTCACAATAATGTCTAAATTTCTGTCAATTGACATCCAACATTCCTTCAATACTGTATGTACTGTTTATTTCTACCTCATCTGAAGTGTGCCTTTGTTAAAAAGGCATGTTGGCCTTCATTTTGAACCAAGTTGTGTAGCTGCAATTGTAGTAACTTCTAGAGGAAACCACACTAGTCTTACATGTACATCTATATTGGAGTACTCTAGTCATAACACAATAGCTAGCTACAAACCTGGGTGGACGAGAAGCCTCCATAGGCATTCCTTTGCTGAGTGAGCCAACGTACGATGGGCAGGCCTTTCAGCAGGGCATCCCTCTCTCCAGTTGCCATGTAGGCAAGGAGAGCATAGGAGGTCATTTCCACTTCGGCAGAGGGAGATTTGTAGTATGGTCGGAACCAAGTATCAGGCACTTCGGTTGGCTTCCCAGGCTGAACCTCACGCTCCCAGTGGACTGTACCATCTTCAAAATACAAAGTACACAAAATATTTTTATCTGGTAGTGAAGACATTCTGAGGTGTGAGTGAGAATACCTATTATAAGGTATCTTGCTGATTTAGGTACAAGAATGACATTCTTATCATTCACTTCTGAGAGATTTAAGCCATTTCTCATTAATATGCAAATAAGGCCATAATTCATGAAGTTGCACATCAAAACTATATTCTATAACTAAACCCAGTGATATATATTTTGCATGTAGTTCACCATATTTTGGTATTTCTTGCTTTTTGGTCAGAAGAAAAATACTGTAGTCCTGTAATGAATACAAATAACCAAGGGTTCAAATATGTGCCATTTATAATTCAAGAGTTAACAAGTAAAAATCTATTTTCTAGAAGTCAACCTTTCTCAATGGCCAGGTTCTCCAACTTTTCCATGTACTCCTCTCTTTGTGGATGCTGGGCCAGAGTGAGCGCATAAGACATCAGGGCAATACCATATGTGCTGGTCACATTGCTCGCACTAGCCAGAAGGCACTCCAGGGCATTTCCAACAAGCTCTGACTGAAAAGTGATAACAGAAGCAGGTTTGTACGGTACATGTACAACATTCCATACGTCATATATAAGCTTTTTGCTTTATGAATGATTCTTTTTCAACATTGTTCCAATGTTTCCAAGTGATTCTTCAGTTCCAAAATCAATACATTTTGCTTTGGCATCTTGCTCTTCTTTAGAACAGACTTTTTTTCACACTCTCTAATTGTATCTAGGCCTTCAGAGATAGTTAGGTCATCAATGAAATCTACACTGCATGCAAGCTTAACCTTCAGCATACTGTATTCTCTATTTGTTGAGGGTTAGAAGTTTCCCATGGGGAGAATGGACAGATCAGCACCTCAACAGATTCCCCACTTTCCAGCATGGCGATGACGATGTAGGCAGTCAACGTGGTGTCATCATTCACACCTCCCTTCATGGCCTTGTGCAGGACTTTCCCAACAGACTGGTAGCAACCATCTGGCTTCTGATTGGCTGCAAACCACTTCTTGGTGTGGTCCAGTTCTTTCTGATCGATGAAGATGTATGGACGAGCTTGGGCGAAGCAACGGTAGACAAAGGCAGACAACCTGGAAAAAATTATGAGTTTGTTACAAATCTGAATTTGGGTAAAATAAAATGAAAAAGCATGACATGTTGTTTTCACTGGTACTGGTACTGTACAATCTACCGGTACACAAATTTAGTATGTGACACTGAACAATAAGGATCATGATAACCTACCAGGTGCTGCCAGAATCATCACTTTCTCCAAAGGCACTGTATGAGCCATCCTTGTGCTTGTAGGTCAACTCTCTTTGGTAACCTGCAAAAAAAAAAAAGATCAGTAGTTTCAAGAATCAAATCACGTTATTTTGTAAATTGGGATGGTGGGAACTATTAATTATCAAATGTGTTATCATAGTAACCCTCAAGACATAATGGAGTGAAATACCAGTACAGTGACTGTCCTATCCCTGGTAGCTCATATGCATTGACAACAGGCAGCGACATTGTGAGAATTCAACTATGTATCTAATACTTGATTTCTCTCTCAAATGCATTCTACGTGTATCTATATCTAGAGCTAATGTAAATAAACATTTGTTTAATGTGTATCTGACACATAAATGTCAATGCAGTTGTCATATTATGTCATATAAGTCATCTTATGTATAACAGGAGGCTAACTAAAACTAACCAATCTTCATGTATTCCAAAGACTTGTCCTTGACTTCAGAGGAGAGCTGTTTGGTTGTGTTCAGGTACTGCATGACGAAGATGTTGGGAGCAAACAGAACCATGTTCTGCTCGCCACACCCGGTCGGCTGACGCACAAGGTTGTCCAGACCAGACAGGGTGGGGCCCATCAGGTCACCTGGGGGCATTCAGAGATTGACAAACTTGATACATTTGTAATGATTTTACATTCATGTTCCACTACTTTTGTTTGGTTCCCACTGTGTAAAATGGATTATTCCTTAAAATAATACTATGTAAAATATACAATGTACATTTCTATAAACAGCTCTTGCAAAAAGAGAAATCAGAAATTGCAGAATTTGACCCCTCAGAAGCAAAAGAACTCTGTGGTATAACAAACACGGAACCTTCAAAGGACCTCAATCTAAAATCACAGTTGTTTTACAGTAACAGGTACTGACCAATGACAGACAGATAGGCTCTGTTGGAGCCCTCCACCAGATTCTCAGGCAGGACAGTCTTGATGGTGTCTTCTAGCTGTTCATTAGGGAAGTCTTTGGGGCAGAAGAATGAGCTGTAGGTGTACTCCTGCTCAATACCCTCTGGCTGTTGAAAGAAAAACATTTTTGTTATCTTTCTCCTTATTGATGCATATACAATTCAATAACCTTCTGGTCCATTTACTAATGACCTTGAAATGTATATTGAGATAATTTTCTGGCAATTTTGCTACATTTTAGGGTACTACTAAACACTGGTCAATTTAAATTGGGAAAAACAGAGGCAATCGGGAATCCTCAGAAATATCAAATTTTTGCCTACAAGAATGGTATCATCTGAAAGCTCTCTTCACCATGACAGTAGTCATGTAAAAATTATTAGTCAGTGATGTTCATAGGATTAGATATGTTTGATTGAAAATGCACTAGACCATGTGGTCTGTTGATAGTCCATCAATGGGCTGCAATTAAACCACTTGGCCTGTACAAACAACAATAGTGGCCTGCCACAACAACAATAGTGGCCTGCCACTGGCCCCCACTGGGCTTCACACCTCAAATCACCTAGCCCATATGAACTAGCTCAGGCCAGTGGCCTACAAATTTGAACGAAAAGGTGTGAAAAATGTAAATCGACCAAGGTTCATAGGCCACTGGGCTAACGCTAGCTCACCATGGCCCAACCAGAACCTATTCACACTCTGCCAGTTGGTGTGAAATACAGTCTGATTGAGCAATTATCATTCAAAATGGGATTGTTATCCCTTTCAGGTAGGGGCCACTTAGTAGTTAGAACAGACTGTAAGAAGTTAAATTTGTAGGGTGCAGGTAATTTTATGTTACTACACAGAAAAGACTAAGTAACTTTATACACAAAAAAAGGAGTTTTCAAGTCCTGCTAACTGTTTGCCTATCACCTAGCATGTTCATTTTTCTATTCATGTATTTATATATATTATATATATTACTGATAGTCATCGAAAGTTTGGAGGTCAGTATCTTTACCCTTCAAACATGTCACTGTTGAAGGAATCTTCTAGTAACCAAAACAGATTCCCTTCTCAAGAAGTTGACATAGCTGATTGATTCAGACATACGTTCATTGCATTTTTGTTTACTTTCCTCAAATGTCAGTATGTTTGGGAATTTTGCCTACAAAAGTTGACTGACTATAAGACTGTCCCTGTAGATAATGGAATGATCCACATCGTCTTAGGAAATTCACGCTAAGTGAATGGCATTCTGTCAGAAGATCTCTAGCTAAGGTGTTAAGACTTTTGTTTTCTTCCCAAGCTTGTACTATTTTTGCTCAAATCTGTAGACCATTGCAAGACAATTTTGCTGCTTTTGAGAACTGCTGATCAGCTTGTGTCCTGAGTGCTGACAATATTGTTGTTATTTGTCTGGCCAAGGAGATTTAAAATTCAAAATTTGATTTTAAACCTCCTTTTTGTGGCTTGCACATCAATCCCAGAATGACTGCACTCGGAAAACTGGCTTTTGACTAAGATTATGCAAATACATTGGCTCAGGAATGATAATAGTATCAGTGACACACAAATGATAATACAATAGTAGGTAGGTGAGTGACAAAAGGATGGTGGTCACGAATAATTAAAGGATTCGTAACACATTACTGATAATCCCATACACATGTAATGTGTGTCGGACCTTGTCCCATACCTCAGGCATAGTATAATCTGTTCCTTCAATTTCAATGGTCTTTAATGAAAATACTAGATACAATGTCATTTCCAGGGAAACCTTTTCTTGTAGTATTTAGAAGAGAGCTGAGTGCGCCATACTACCAAAAACCTTTCTTTCAGTC